GGCCCCCCCGCTCCCGGGGCTCGCAGCAGTCGAGCCCTGGTTCATTTTGCTCTTTTGACTCCATTTCTTCTCCAATTCTTTCCAAATTTGTTCTATTTTGTTCCGTTTTTGATCCATTTTAATCCTTTTTATCCCGAGTTCTCATTTGCTGCTGCTTCCCCGCTTGCTCCCGGTCTTCCTGGCCTTCGTACGAGCCTCCTGCTGCTGCTGCTGCGGCAGCAGCAGCAGCAGCAGCAGCAGCAGCGGCAGCGGCAGCAGATGAATTTGTTTCTTCTGTGCTTCATTTGTGAGGGGCCAGCGGCTGGCGGCAGCGGCCTTTGTAGAGGAGCTTTATTTCTAAGGCTCGGGGGCTCGAGGGTTTAGGGTTTAGGGTTTAGGGTCTGGGGTTTGCTGTGGCGCGCATGCTGGACAAACTGCAGCGGCACAAACAATGCAAGTCTTTTGTAAATGCTTCCAACCAATATGCATGCATCGAATTTGCTGCAAAGCAGCAGCGTTTAGGGTTTAGGGTTTAGGGTTTAGCGTTGAGGGTTCAGCGTTTAGCGTTTAGGGTTTAGGGTTTAGACGATGGATATCAGGGCAAGCGTTGCTGCTGCAGCAGCAAGACCAGCGAGTGATGCTGCTGAGGGTTTCTGCTGCTGCAGCAACAGCAGAACTTAACATGAGGGTTTAGGGTCTAGGGTTTAGACGATTGGGGGCAGGGGGAGTGTTGCTGCAGCAGCAAGATCAGCGAGAGTGATGCTGCTGAGGGTTTCTGCTGCTGCAGCAACAGCAGAACGAATGAGGCCCTGCAGCAGCGGATGAGAAGTGACGGAGTTTGCATAAGCTGCTGCTTGTGCTCTTCTTTGGAGTTTCTTGAGTGCTGCTGCTGCTCCCTGGGGCAGCTGCTGCTGCTGCTGCTGCTGCAGCAGCTGCTGCAGCTGCTGCAGCTGCTGCAGCTGCTGCAGCTGCTGCTGCTGCTGCTCCCCAGGAGTGAACGTTGACAAGTACTGCATGTACTGAGCCAAAGGCCCGAAGCGGGAGGCCTCAGCGAATTGGAGTCTGCGTGGGGACTCAGTCGAATTTTGGAGATTTATTTCTTCGAATTTGTTCAAATTTAGTCCATTTAACTTATTTATTTCACTTATTTCATTTAAATTTAATCCATTTAACTCATTTAATTCATTTATTCCATTTATTTCATCATTTAATTCGGTTTTCCCGTCATTTGTTTCATTTATTTCTTTTATTTCAGTTGCTGCCCCACACCCCCCCGCCCCGCCGCAGCAAACTTGGGGTGTACGTACACCTGAAGCCCCACACCCCGCTGCAGCGCCCATTTCGTTTTCTTTCATTTTTTCTTTTTTTGAAAAAGAAGTTTCGTTTTCTTTTTCCGTTTCTTTTACTCTTTTTGCTTCTTCCGAGTCTTCTTTTTCTGTTTCTTTTACTTCAAATAAATCCAAAACTTCCGGAAACTCATTTGCTGCAGCACCCCACACTTCAGGTGTACGTACACCTGAACCTTGAAACCCCACATCCTCGCCCGAGCAAATCTCCCCCTCCACCTGCTGCTGCTGCTGCTGCTGAAGCTCCTGCTCCAGTTGCTGCTGCTGCAGTTGCTGCTGCTGCAGCAGCACGAGCTGCTCTTGCTCTTGCTCTTGCTGCTCCTGCTGCAGCAGCTCCTGCTGCTGATGCTGCTCCGCCAGAAGCTCCTGCTGCAGTAGCTCTTGCTGCAGAATGTCTTGCTGGTAATGCTGCTGCTGTAGGGGCTCCTGCTGCAGTTGCTGCAGCTGCGATAGCTCCTTCTGCTGCGGGTGCTGCTGCAGTAACTCGCGCTGCTGTCGCAGCCGCTGCTGCTGCAGCAGCTCCTGCTGCTGTTGCTGCTGCTGCTGCTGCGAGGCTACGCGAGCTGCTGCCGGTCGGGGGGCTCCGCAAGTGGGCTGAGAGGCAAGAAGAGAGAAGCAAAAGCCCGAAAAGAAAAGGAATCGTTTTAATGCCGGCATTTCGTTTTAATAAACACTTTTGATATTGGTTTTAAATATCGAAACAAAAAGGAATTAAACTGGAAAACGAAAGAAGAAGCAAAACCGCAAGCTGCGCGGCATTCTGAACGCATCGGCTGCGGGTGGCGCGAAGGGAAAAATAGTCTTTTGGAAAGGAACAAAACTTTGTTTAGTTCTTTTTATTTGTTTTACATCTAAATTTTATTCAATTTTTGAAGATTCTGCAGCGGATTTGCACAGACAAGTTGAAATGAAGATGCGGCGGCAGCGCCGCCGCCAGTGAGCAGATCCGAAGCACTGGGGTGTATGGACACCTGCAGCACGGCGGCGCAGCCCGCATTCCAGTCGCATTTAATTAATTAACTAATTAATTATTTCTTTATAATTATTTACAATTTTAAAATCTATATTTAAAGGCCCAAAGGAGCTGTTTAGCACTGAATTCAGCGGAAGCCGCAGCTCGAGGCATTGCCCACGCCCCCGGACTTCCCCTGAGCCCAAATTTCGAATGCAAAGATGAAATAGATGCTTTTTCAATTTAAAATTAGATTAATAATTTAGTTTTTGCAATTTATTTTATCAAAAAGGATCAGAAATGACCCATTGTCACGCCGGTGGTCCTGACCAGTGGTCCACCTACTCCCCTCTCCTAGCTTGCACTGTATGTACACTGCAGTACTTCTAGTGCACACTTCTTCACCTATTTAAAGGCATTTAAACATCTTCTATTTTACTCATCTAAATAAATAAATAAATAAATATAAAATAATTCAATTAATATAACATACATAGATGTTTACATACTTCCAAGTCCAAAAATTATCTTCGGTCCATTTGAAAGGACCGAAGATAAATAAAGAAATATTTTATTTCCATTTTTTTATTTAAATGATGAATCTTCAAGAGAAGTTTAAAAGCATTTCTGTTTTCTTTGTTGTTTCAGAAGCAAACCAGGAGGCTTCTGCTGCTGTTGCTGCTGCTGCTGCTGCTGCGACTGCGCCTCAGCAGCAGAAAGTGCAGCAGTGGCAGCAGAGGCAGCGGCAGCAAAAGCAATAGTAGCAGCAACAGGCGGCGTCCGCGGCAGCAGCAGCAACCAGAATAAAAGCAGCAACAATAGCGCACTCAGCAGCAGAAACAGCAGCAGCAGCATCAGAAGCAGCAGCAGCAGCAGCAGCAGAAACAGTAGCAGTAGCAGCAGCAGAAGCAGCAGCAACAGCAGCAACAGAAGTAGCAGCAACAGCAGAAACAGCAGAAGCAGCAGCGGCAGAGGCAGCAGGAGCAGCAGAAACAGCAGCAGCAGCAGCAGCAGCAGCAGGAGCAGCAGAAACAGCAGCAGCAGCAGCAGCAGCAGCTAAAAAAAGGACCCAAAACTCTGCACTTATGTAGGCGCGCATTGCGGGCGCTTATTCTTAAAGAGAGCAAATAAATAAAAAAACAAATATATAGAATAAATAACTAACTAACTAAATAAATAAATAGATAAATAAATAATGAACTGAGTTAATTAATTGGCTAATTTAATTAGTTGAAATAAAAGCAATCAAAAGCCGTTTCAGCAAATTCTCTTTAACTGTCTTCGATTCAGAAAAATTCTTTTTAATAATTCGAAATTAAAAGGAATTAAAATTAATTAAAATTAATTAAAAATTAATTAAAATAAATTAAAACAAGCTAAAATAAATTAAAATGAATTAAAAGGGATTAAAATGATGCATTTAAATCAAAATAAAATTCAATTTAAAAAACATATTTTGTATTTGTTTCCAGCTCTGCGTACACTTGAAAGTGCACCAACTGGTTTGCGTCCTATTTTTATTATTTAAAAATAAAACCATTTAAGCATTATTAATAATGAAAATATCAAAATAAACCCTAAACCCTAAACCCTAAACCCTAAACCCTAAACCCTACACCCGTTCTTCCTGTGGTTTGGTGGTGCTGTCTCATCGGCCCACTCGGTCTCTGGGGCCAACCCGGAAACCCTAAGCCCTAAACCCTCACCCCTAAACCATAAACCCTAAACCCTAAACTGTAAATTCGAAGTTCAAACCCTAAACCCTAAACCCTCGTTCCAAACAAAACCACCTGGAGCCTTTATTGCCTCCGTTTGACTCTTGAAAAATAGAAGTATGAATTAATTGTTTTAATTGTTATTATTATTTTAATATTAATTAATTACCTTCATTTAAATTATTATTATTTTCAATTCTATTATTATTATTTGTTATTAACTGCAAACACTTGCCACTCTGAAAGAAAATACCTTTTTCCTTTTTTTAATTTATATAAAGTTTTTAAGAAGTTTGAAGGAAATTGTAGAAATTCTGGAAGTCAAAAACAAATTAAATGGTACTTTTTTATATTTGTATTCCTTCACAAAAAGAAAACAGCCCTGCTGCTGCTGCTTTGACGAAGACACCTCCCACGTCCTTCATTATTTTCTTTTTTCTTTTCTTTTTGTGGTCTATTAATTGCTTTCTTCATTTACAATTATGCTCCATTAGTTAGTTCTATCTGCCATTCTGTTTACAGGAGCTCCAAATATTAGTTTTCAAGGGTTTGCACTGTCTAGGGTTTAGGGTTTAGGGTTTAGGGTTTGGAGCACGTGCTTCCAAACCCTGAGGCTCTCTGTCGAGCCTGCGGCATCCTTGTGCTGTTCTAATGACTTCAAATGCCTTTAAATGTCTTTTAAGTACCTTTAAATATATTTTAAATATTTTTTAAACGTTTTGAACTTCTTTCATTTCTTTCAAATGAGTCAACACCCCGCCAAACCACCGCAGCCAAACCCTCTTCTCAAACAGCAGCCACCGGCCGCCCGCGGGGCTCTCCCGCGGCTTCTTCGCCGCCAAATTTTTCGTTTTTCGTTTTAAATGACTCAAATTGGAATTAAAGACTTTTTAATAATTGATAAAACGGAAAAGATCGGGCGCGGCAGTGCAGATCGCAGCGGCTGGCCGCGCAAGGCAAGGAACTTGAATGTACACCCGCAAGCACAAGGACAACAGCGAGGAATCTGAAGTAAAAAGCCGCTGAAATGGATTTATATTAAACCCTTAAAAGAGTTTTTGTTGAAGCTTGCGAGGGAGAAAGCGAGGAAGACATTAGGCTTCGCGAACCCCACAGCGGGGGGCCCACATGTAGGCGGCCTTGGCGAGCCGAACGTATACCTGCGTCCTTCCTTTTGCTCCAAATTTGATTTATTTTGAATTATTTGATTAATTTTAATTAGAAAAATAGCTGAAGGCGAGAAAAAAGCCCTAATTAAGTCGGTTTTCCGCGGCGCCGGTGCTCGTTGGCTGGGCGGCGGCCTCAGCCCTGGCTTCGATGCTGAAGTCAGTTCTTTCCTTTTTCCGGAATTTTAGTAGCCCGAAACGCGTTTTTTCTGCTTTTTATTTGGAGTTTTGTTTTTGTGTTTCGTTTGAGGGGCTGGGAATGGCGGTGCGGCTGCTGCTGCTGGGTTTTGGGCACTAGCTGCAATGGGTCGGCGCCTTGCGGAGTGTATGTGCTGATTCTGCACGAATCAGCGTGTCTTTGGCGCGATCTTTGGAATATTTGTGTTTTTTTTGGATTTTTTATCGCGAATGACGCGCTGACCAGCAGCTTTCCACGCTGGAACCCCCGCATTCCACTTTCTTGAACGGGAACGATGGACCCGAACTCGCTGGTTTCCTCCAACGTGAAGTCCGCGCGTTTGGAGTTTCTCGGAGACGATGAGATCCGAAAGCTTTCCTGCTGCCGCGTGGTGACAGCTGCTGCGTTTTCTGCGCCGGCGGGCGGCGCGGCGGGCAGCAGCAGCAGGAAATGGGGAGCCGACGCCGCAGCAGCAGCAGCAGCAGCAGCAGCAGCAGCGGGACTCGCTGCTGCAGTCCCAGGCGGCCTCCACGACAGCCGCATGGGCGTTTTCGACGGCAGAGAAACTTGCGGCACTTGCGGGGCCTCTGGCAGCTGCCCCGGCCACTTGGGCCATATTGAACTCGAGCTCCCCGCGCTGCAGCCCATCCTCATGCCTTCCCTCGTCAAGCTGCTCAAAGGGGTGCTGCTGCTGCTGCTGCTGCTGCTGGTGCTGCTGCTGGTGCTGTTGCTGCTGTTGCTGCTGTTGCTGCTGCTGCTGCTGTTGCTGCTGTTGCTGCAGCAGGGCCGACGCTGCTGCTGCAGCAGCAGAGCTGGTGCTGCTGCTGTTGCTGCCGCTGCAGCAGAGCTGATGCTCTGCCGCTGCTGTTGCTGCTGCAGCAGACCTGCAGCTTCCGCTGTTGTTGATGTCGCCGCAGCAAATTGCAGCGACAGCTGCTGCTGCTGCAGCAGCAAGGAGCAACACTTGCTGCTACGTTTCAGCTGCTGCTGCTGCGCAGCTGCTACTACCACCACTGCTACTACCACTGCTGCTGCTGCTGCCGCTGCTGCTGCTGCTGCATTTGATTTCAGGTTTGCTTCGAATGCCGGCGTCTTCGGCTGTCTCGACAGCAGAAGAGCCTGGAGGTGAAGCGGTTTCAGCTGCTGCAGCTGCTGCTGCTGCAGGAGCTGCGTTTAATGGACACCGTTGTGACCCGCAACAGCAGCAGCAGCAGCAGCAGCAGCAAAGCTGCTGGAAACGAAGAAGCCCTCAAGAGCCGCAAAGAAATCCTTCAAATTTTTGCTGCTGTTGAGGCCGAGCTGAATGCCCGGATGCAGCAGCAGCAGCAGCAGGAAGAGCAGCAGGACAAGGAGCAGCAGGATGTGAACAAGCCTGCTGCAGCAGCAGCAGCAGCAGCAGATAAGGAAGACACAGGCGTTGCTGCTGCTGTCAAAGAAACCTTCATGCTGCAGCACATTGCTGAGGACTTCAGCAGCAGCGCACTCCAAGTGGCAGCCTGGAGAAGCTGCCGCAGCAGAGTGCTGCAGCAAGCAGCAGCAGTGAACCGCTGCAGCCACTGCGGAGTGTAAACCCTAAACCCTAAACCCTAAACCCTAAACCCTATTTAGTTCTCGCCCCCCATCAGCGGCGTGCCTGTGCCCCCCAGCCAGCCTTCCCTCTGTGCGTGGCCTCCAGGCCCCGGGCTCTAGGCTCTAGGCTCTAGGGTTTAGGGTTTAGGGTTTAGGGTTTAGGGTTT